ATTCTAAATGATTGAGGATGACTTGTAGCTCATCTTTAAAGAAACAATGACATGAATTGGGGGCTACTTCTTTCACAACACCAACTTAGGACCACTGTTTTCATAGCACAGACATGGTCCATGAGAAAATTAATTGTAAATCGATAATAATTTGCTTGTAAATATTCTAGAATCACTTATAAATCACCCCAAGACATCAACTTTTTTCACATGTATGATTTAAAACACGTAAGACACATAACAAATTATTCACCCATGTCAAGTTCGAAGTTCTCAACCTGGTCTAAAATATAATAATTTCACTTCAGTTAACTTTAATTTAAAATATAAGTAATTTAGTACATGTATATAAAAAATTCTATCATACTCTTCATATTTATTAGTATTAAGGTATAATTTTATTCCTGTATTTATTTCTTAGGAGTGCTGGGCACTATACTCTTAAGTGGAGTAATTTTATCCTTAAATTATTTTTTTGATGAGCAAAAAACCCCTTCAATTAGGAGGCTGTTAATTGTGTTGTTTTTTGCTAATGTAACATGTGCGTGGGGTCTACACACAGTGACATGTAAGACTTTGACCTTGTCTTTTATTGTTAATTTGCCTCTCAACTTTTTTTCTAAGAGTATTGAGCATTTTAAAGTTTTTTTACAAGTGCTGGATGCCGTGAAGTCTTGTCAAAATAAAATTTAATAAATACTGTTAAAATATTAAGTATGTTAATATTTAATAATTTAAATATTATTATTTAAAATATTACACCATCCAATTTAATATTTTAATATTTTTGATATATTGCAATTTTGTGTTAAAAATGGAGGGAATGAACCTTTAAATTAATGAAGGAATTTTTTGTTCTCATCTCTTTATTTTTCTCTTATTAAGTAACTTTTTTATAACATATTAATGGAATGAGTGATAAAATACAAATAAACATTTTTGTTGGCATATTATTGATCTTGATTTGTCATATTTTTAATTGTATTCTTAAAATTATAACATACAAAGAGTATTTAATTTTGGGGGTGCAATATTTTGAAAGAAGATCTTTAGTTGACCAAACAAATTAGAAAACATGACCTAAAAATTTAAAAAATTTAACTAATATAAAAAATATAAGCAAGTTTCGATACGAATAAAAAACGTACCGATTTAAGCACTATCTCGAAGAGAATATCAAAAATTGATATATACAAAATAAGAAGTCATTTATGAATTTACAAAGGCTAAAATACATACAATCTTCTTAAACTTTGAGACAGTTGCATATAACCCATTCCACCTTTAAAAATTTAAAATTAACCTCCTAACCTTTAATTTCATTTTTCAAAACCTTCTATTATTAATTATGTTATTTTTTTCATGAAGGTTAGAATGTCATTGAACTAAAAAAATTTATTAAATAAAAATATTTATTGTGTAACTATTTATAATAAATTTTTTATATTTTTTAAATAGTTGAGGCATTGATACCAAAAAAATGTTATTATCATTGTATAAAATTTTAAATATTTATGTTTATATTATTTTTATTCATGTTTTTTTTGTTATCAATGGTGCATGATTTTATTATTTTAAAAGATAAATTTTTATTTATTTTTTATATTAGACTAATGTAATGCACATGGTTAAAAAATTTAAAATATTTTAAACTAATGCCTCAACTATTTAAAAAATATAAAAAATTTATTATAAATAGTTATATAATATAACATTATTGTTTAATAAGATTTTTTATTTGAATGACATTTTAACCCTCATAAAACAATAATATAATTAACAGTATAGGGTTTTGAAAAATAAAATTAAAGTTTAACAGGGTTAATTTTAAATTTTAAAGGTAAGGAGGATTATATGCGACTGTCTTAAAATTTAAAAGAATTTTATGCATTTTTTTCATTTATAAAACACTAGTTTGAGTTGTTGATATTTTAAAAGTAATTTATAGATTTTGAATGAATATTTATAAATAATAATATTTAAATTATTAAATATGAAAATATTTAATACTTTAGCAATATTTATTAAATTTAATTTTAATAAGATTTTAAAGTGTCTAATGCTCTAAAAAAAATTTAAGATGTTCTGTGTTCTTAAAAAAAGAGTTTAAAGGCAAAACAACGTCAAAGAACATGATTAAAATTTTATTTGTCACTGTGTGTGGGCTTCCATACATAAATCACGTCAATAAAAAATGACATAGCTAACAACCTTTTGACAGAAGGACATTTTTAAAATTTTAAAAAATACTTTAAAAAAAATTACCTCACTTAAGAGTATAGAGTATCCAGCATTATTAAAAAATAAGTACATGAACAAAAATGTATCTTAACCTCATTTGTTAACCTAAATATTTGTATAAATGTATCTCTTACTCATAATAAAATGTATTAGTAATTGAAAATAAGGATAAAAATAATATATATTTTTATGAAAAAAAAAATTTATTAATATATATTTTTTTCAAAAACTATTTATGTTTTGGATCTGAGAGAGTAATTTATAAAGATATAGCTTTTCAAAAATATATGAAGATGGTGAAGAGAGAAAGACAACAAAAAGGCGAGTAGTGGATAAAAGGTGTTTAGAGATATGATACAATAAATAAATAAATAATCGTTGCAGACAAACAACAACAAAAAAAAAAAGAAAAAGAAAAAAGATCGTTACGTAAATTGATTCGATACGCTAGTTGGTCATTATTTTCATAACGTTAGATTTTTTTTATTTCCATGAGACCAATATTAATATTTCTTGGGCAAATCACACTCAACGACAACCGAAGATAATTAATTACATTACAAAATTAAATGATTTTAATATTAGTTTACAGGATTAAATGACTTAAATATAATTAAAATTAAAATTTATTATAAAAAAATAAAATTACCCTTTATGTGTGTATATATATATACTCTTTTAACAACTCTTTATTCTAAAATAAAGTTTTATTTTCATTTTAATAATAATTAATTTTTTTATTAATAACTTTAAAAAATTAATTTGGTGGTGGAGAGGAATAAATATTGTAATTTAGCAAATAAGGACTGATTCAAAAAACAAAAGTTTTATTTTCATTTTAATAATAATTAATTTTTTTATTAATAATTTTAAAAAATTAACTTGACAGCGAAGAGGAACAAGTTTTATAATTTGGTGAAAAAGCCCTCATTCAAAAAAAAAACAATCATATTTTTATTATAATAATAATTAATTTCTTTATTAATAATTACAATATATTAATTTAATAAAAGGATTGTTATAATCTAGTGATAAGTCTTTATTAAAAAAATTTTATTTTTATTTTAATAATAATTAATTCTCCTGTCACAACAAACATATATTAAGGATAATTTTGTGTTTTCATAATAAATTTTAATTATATTTATATCTCTTGATCCCGCCTAATAATATCAAAATGATTTGACCCTGCAATGTACTTGAGTGTCTCCAGTGGTCTTGTGATTTTCCCATCTTTCTTTTAGTTCTGGTTTTTAAAAGGAGAGCCTAAACGAATAATTAAACTAATGATGATATCTTAAGTCGGCTACGAGAGCTCAAAGATTAGACTGCAGAAATTATTATGGGCTTAGTCTAAGTAGGCTGCAGGCAATGTGAAGAGCAAAAGTTTCAAATTTATTTATTTTTATAAAAAAAATATTATTACTGTTTATCATGATATCACATAATTATAAAATAAACATGTAATAAAAGGATTGAATAATTACAACGTTCATTCAACCAGATGAAATGAAACCATTAACTTTTGAACGTTGACAGGCTGGTACGGTCTTTAATACTTCTTTAAAAAAGTTAAATAAATGATAATACCAATACTCCTTATATTTTTATATACATGTCACTTCTATCTATTTTATTAAAATTAAGGAGATGCAGCTAAACTTTTGAAATTATTTGAAAAAGAAAAAAAAATTTACCCTTATTAAAGATGCATCATCTTTAAAAATGTTTCTCAGATATAACTTTTTAGTTTACTCAATCCATGAAAAACATGAAAGAGTAAAATTAAAATAAAGTAATTAACAATTTATTTATTTTATATGAATTGACTTATAAAAAATCGTTAATTTTTGAAGTGATTTATATATAAGACATAGCCTATATACATTAACCACATGAAAAATAAATCAATGATCTCTCACTTTCATACAACCACAGTAAAGAGTATTTTCTTTTGAATGAAAACATATCCTTAATCATATAATATTACAAGCTAATCAAGCCTATGACCAGCCTCCTTTCATCCTCCCTGAATAGAAAAGTGAGAGACTAATGTTGCAGCTTTTGAAATAATATTATGAGTATTTTAGTCTTTTTATTAATTTAGATTATTAGATACTCCAGACTAAAGGTTTCATAAGTGTTTTTATCTCTTTTTCTGATCTACATCAATAAAAAAATATCAATATATATTTAGATATCAACTGAACGGTTAATTTTTGAGAGGTTTAATAAATTGATTAGATAATATTAGGAATATTTTTATTTTTTTATTTTAAACTATTATGTACTTCGTACTTGGCTTCTCTTTATTTTCTTTCCTCTTTACTTCCCATCTTATTAAACGGTTGAGATTTGATATTTCATAATTTCAATCGTTCAAAAATGAATTCAATAGTTAAGATAAAAAGTGGAGAAGAAAGAAAATGAAGAGAAGTTGAATCCATATAATTCTATTCAAAAATTTTGCCAGTATTTTTACTTTTTTATTTTATTTTAAACCGATATCCAAACAGCCCAACTTGTAAATGTCATTCTCGTCAAGCCATTCGTGTTTGGATGTTCTCGGATCTTTCTCACCATACAATTCCCGTTTCAGTTTTACTGCGTGATTGGACAATAATGCTTTTTTTTCGTTATTTTTTTTTTTGTTTGAGTCTCTGAGATCATCCACGTGCATTAAATCTTAGGATATTAATTGGCAAGAAACAATGCACCGTGAAGTGATGATCATTAACCACGTTGCGACAGCAGGGGGTGACAGTGACCTTCATCTTGTTCTTTTATTTCAGCTCACCAACAGCGTGTCTGAACTCTGAGACACTCTTTCAGCCTTTCAAATTCTTTTATTTCATTTTCTTTTTTTGCCAACCTTTTATTTCATCTTCCTGCTGTGTTGTTGTTGTTGTTTCTTGCCCTGTACAAATCTGAGTTTGACGATCTTCCTTTATTCGATTGAAATTACATGTCTGACCTGATCATGTGCTCTGCTACTCAAGCCGAGATACTCAAGCTTCTTTTATACTAGCTTCGTAGCTTGCCTTTTTGTATCGGGGAATAAACTAAAAAAACCAGAAATTTGCAAGTCGGTGTTCTTGTGTTTGACTCAAGTTTTCATTTTTCCTCTCCTGGGGTTTGCAAAGAAGCAAAAGGCCCTCATCTTTGATAAATTTCTCTGGTTTTAGTTACTTTAATGGTTGTGTAATGTTTTCTGAACCAGAAAGAAGCAACATAGGACGGCTGAAGAAGGAGAACCTCGGAGGAAACAAACATGGCGGACGACGACAACAACAATAACAACAAAGAAAGCAGTTCTAGAGAGCCATTGTTGTTGAAGGAGAATCGGTACCATGAAAACTGTCCTGGTTGTAAGGTGGATCAAGACAAGGAAATGCAGCAAGGCCTACCCGTAAAGCAGCTTCTTAACGTATGGACGGTGACTCTGTGTACCGGTGAGTTTATTTTGATCTTCTCACGTAAAACTCTATAAAATCTCGTATTCTTATGTTGTTTCTGAAAGTTGCTTAATTATTTCTGTGAAGTCAAAAGAATCCAGAATCCACTTTTGGTGATCTTCTTGTTTTGGAGTACTTCAGTCATCAATTCTTGAACATTAAAGCTAAACGGACCTGTTTCTTTAAGTTCAAGATATCCTTCCAAGCTATTTGCTGGAAATTTTAGTGCCTTTTCTAATTCTTCTCTCAGCTGAAATGCCCATTATTATATCAGATTACTGTTCTCTTTTCTTTCTTTCTATTTTTCTTTTCTTTTTTTTCCTTTGTGGTAAGAATAGAGGTCCTCGGTGAAGGATTTATTAGCTCTTGAACGGGTTTCAAAACAAACAAAAATATAGTCTGTTTGATTTAGTATTTATTATCAAATTTCGTGCCAGCAGATTCTTCAGTCAATTATTCCTTTTTCCCCCCTTAAAAAAATTATCTGATATGTTCTTTCTTGGCTTTGGCTCTGTTCAGCGCTGCCTATATCATGTCTCTTCCCATTTCTTTATTTCATGGTGAGTTTATTTTCTTCCCACTAGATGCATGTCTTTTCCTGATTTACATTTTCAAATTACATGCCTGCGGATTCTTCAGTCTTTTTTTTTTTTTTTAAATGACATTCTTAGGTCATTTCTTTATTTCATGGTGAGCGTATCATGTCTCTTCCCACTTGATGAATTCTTTTGATGGCCATTGTGTGGGAGATTTTTTTGCGTGGATGATCTAGATTATTAATTTCCGAGTCATTTTTGCATAGTATTGAAATCTGGGTCAATCCGGTGAGTTGAACTAGTAAACTATTAAAATAATATTTTGACTGGTTCAATGAAATGCTTTGTTCGTAATCAGTGACCGCAGATGAGTCTGATTTCAATAGTTTGCAATTTTATAATGCTTTCTTTTTAAATATTTTCATCAATTCTTGAAAGTGACTCTAACTTGTTACGATGTCAACAGTTTTTTTTTTAATAAATATTTTTCTTTCTTGAAAGTGTCAATTAATAGTTGGTTTGATGATTAATTACCTAAATTAACTCTTTTCAGGTTAATATATTCAGTTTTCCTAGTTATTTGGGTCATTTGAATAAATGAATTTGGGTGTGAATTAACTGTTCAATCCTACCTTTTCTTCCATAATTTTTTTGACTAAGAAATTGGTTTTATCTTGTTCTGTTCTAGTTGGTGGGAACTTCTGCATTTAATGCTTGTTCCAATATCAAAATATTCTTTTTTTTTTTGGGCCAAAAATGATGAACTATTCTATATTTTCCTGAGTTTTCTTCATTTCCTTTGGAACCTGTAACAAAAGGTTTGTGTGCTAGCAGACAGTCCTTTTATTGCAGTTTCCTCTCCTATTCTTCTAACCTTAAATTAAATTTGTGGTTTGTTTCATGAAATTGCTATGAATGGCTTGCAAAGGGGATGGATCAAGGATACATTTGAATCATGTCAAATGGGTAGCTTTTGACATAAATAACATGAAGAAAATGTGTTGGTATCGTCCAAGTGTGCTAGGCGTGTAGATCACATTTTCTCTTATTGGGCCTTACTCATTTTTTGGTTCCAACGCCATAAAAGAGTATTTTTAATACCTTCAGCTTTTTCGTTTGTTCCTCAAGAAATAAATTTTGTTTAATGTTCCTTTTTATTCCTTATCTTGCAACAGCATACAATGCAACTAATGATGAGTGGAAGATGCACCATTGATACTAATCTGATTGCAGGTAAGAGATTTTGGTATTGCAGAAGTGGAGGCAGATATCAGTTCCTATGCTGGTTATGTGGGTAAGAATCCTTTTAGTTCTTTCAATCTATTATTAGAGGGACTTATGAGCTCTTAAAATACTGATCTCCATATGAAACATGTTGTAGGATCTTCATACATGCTCGGCAGAGGTTTGACATCAATTCCTTGGGGAATATTTGCTGATCGATATGGTCGAAAATATGCTATAGTTACAGGCCTTGTTGCAGTGTACGCACCTTTGCACTGATCTGGATTTCTTTCTAATAAGCACCCCTGATTGTTGGAATTGTACAAAACTTACACTTGAGGGGGGGATTGTTGGAATGTCAACCCAACTCTATCTGATATGGGATTTTTCTATCCATACCAAGTCAAGTCAACTCACACTTGGCATCCAAACATGTAAAACTTACTCTAGGCATCATCAACAACAAGAACAACGGCAAGCCTCATCTATTTAGTGCATCTCGGAAGTTAAAGACCTAGGAAATTGAGATTATTTAGTGCATCCTGGAACTTTGTTTCATCTATCTTCTGTTTTATATATATTTTTTATTTCTTGTAATGGACTCTCTACAAATAGTCCTCCACTAATTGCATGCCACTTTTTTTTAGACTAGTTGAAATCAGCTTAGCTTATTAGTTTCTCTTCTAACTTCATCCCTCCCTCTCTTTCTCTCATTATCTCCCTCACCATCCTTGTACTGTTCTAGTCAGTACACTTATCCATATATCTACCGATTCTTATTTGATTTCAGTGTTGTGTTTAACACACTATTTGGCCTTAGCACAAGTTTTTGGATGGCTGTTAGCACAAGATTTCTTCTTGGGATCTTAAATGGTTCGCTTGGTCCAATAAAGGTACCTTTTTTTTTTTCTGCATTAGATAACAACAGTTTAAATTTGAATGAATTTATATTGGATCTTCAGAAGGTACACTTTGTCTCTATTTGGTCCTCCAAAGTTTTAATGTCTCGTTTTAGTTCTTCATGGAGTATTCTATCTGTTATTAAGCTTGTTAATAGATTATTAACGGAGAGGGGCGACATGGTTTATTGTTAACCTGATGTGATTGTTAAATGAGTACTTGTCTCTGAAACTAGGCATGTGATAGAGCACCATGCCATTTTGATGCATGGTTAATAGCAACTGGACGTATAAAGGTCATATTAACTTCATATTTGGCTATATCACCCCTTTCTGTTAGTTATTTTTTAATGGGCTTAATGTGATGATGATATTGAAGATGAAACACTTTTTGGTAGACTTAAATGAGATATGCTGGCTTTCAGAGATTACATTGAGATGAAGGGTATCGTATCATTCAAGGTCTAAAATTTCCAGTTTAGTCTTTAAATTTTCATTGAACAGAACCAGGGCTAAGTCCGAAGTTTGAATTTGTGTACTTGAAGGCTAGTCATTCTGTTTTATTTGTTTGGCTTTACATGACTTGTTCTATTTGATTATAACTGCCACCAACATATCAACTCTGTCACTAGGCTTATGCTAGTGAACTTTTTCGAGAAGAACACCAAGCTTTAGGACTCTCAACTGTAAGTCTAGTTTACTTTGGTCTACTATTGATTCCTGGAAGTACATGGTCTTCATGATAATTTGATAGTGTGATCTGGTTTCAGGTTAGTTCAGCTTGGGGCATAGCTTTAGTCATTGGTCCAGCAGTGGGAGGCTATCTGGCTCAGGTACTTTTTGTTCCTTGCCTTGTGCAGCAAACTAGATCTTGATTGGGTTGACTTTTATGGAAGGGCACGAAGATTGTTTTTTTTTTTTTTTTTGGTTACTGAGAAACTTATCTAAGCTGAATTCCTAACAGATTTAGTGTTAATCTAGAGTTTAAATTTACCATTCTCTAAGGTCAAGTTATGGCAGATTTACTGTTCGTCTCTTAAATTGTACCTTGCAAGTGTGTTGGAACATGCCTTTGAGCGGTGAGCACACTTATCACTTGTTCATCTAACAATATGGGAATTTTGGTATTTCAGCCAGTACAGAAATATCCACATGTATTTCCTAAAGGTTCCTTATTTGACAAGTAAGTGCTAAGTATGCTTGCATTACTTTTAAGTGTTAATAATAATTTTAGATTCCATTTTTTTTATTTTAATTTCCCAGTTGATATGCTGATATTTGTTTGTCCAAACATAAATGGCCTACAGGTTTCCATACTTCTTGCCCTGCTTTATAATATCAGCCTTTGCACTTGCTGTATTAGTGGCCTGTATCTGGCTTCCGGTATGTATGACCATGAATTTTATGTGTCTATTAATACTAATAATAATGGTTGTGATGGCAAATTATATTGAATACAAAGGGCAGCCCAAGCCCAGACTTGCTAATCCTTATTGATGTTCTTTATATAAGCTCTGTCCTCATGATGTTTTGAGACTGCTGCTGCTACTATTATTAATTTATTTTTATAGAAAAAAATCCAATTTTGGGTTGGGGACTTGAGATGGAGGCAAGGTTCTAATATATTTCTTAAGGGAATTAGTGAAACTTTTAAGTTCTGTTTTTTTAGTATAAAGCCTCATATTCATATTTTTTATAGACTAGAAATCTATGAATATTTTTCCCCTTTCTATTCTATATATTTTTTAATAGTTCTTCAAGTATTTTAAACATGCCATATTTGGGGCATACATAATTATTTATAGCTATATTTTAAACTGTTTTTCTGATAAAAAAACAAAGGTTTCCTTCTCATATTAAAGTTTTTGTTTACAAAATCTGCAGGAAACATTGCACAACCACAATGTTAGCGATGAATCCCATGAGGATACTGAAAATGAAATCACAGGAAAGACAGCTCAGAAGGATGAAAACCTCCTCCTGAACTGGCCGTTGATGTCATCCATTATTGTTTATTGCTTTTTCTCACTGCATGATATGGCTTATACTGAGGTATGTTTCTTACGTAAGTATAAATAGTTTCTTGCATTTTATGATATGTTTCTTTCTATCTTGTTATCCACACCCGTATCTATTGATTTTGATCTGACATCGAGCTGATTGGTGGTAAAATCTCGCATTCATTGGAGAGAAAACAATTTCCTATTTTTTATCCTTGAAAAATGATGTGATTATGTATAAGTTGATACTCTAAATGATGTTTTCCATCTTTTTACTACTTCGAGAGTCATTTGATTGATATTATATGTAATTACAATATTTGATAAGAGTCAAGAGAAATCTTCTCAAGTACTAAAAGTGATAGAAAAAGCTCATGGAGTGTCAAGTTGACAGTGACACCATCTTTTGTGGAGCAAAATGAGGTTTTTGCCTTTCATCTTATAGGCTATGTGTTTGCACTGTTTCACTTTTGCAGGTTTTCTCTTTATGGGCTGTCAGTCCTCTAAAACTAGGGGGTTTGAACTTTACAACCGATGATGTTGGTAATGTTCTTTCAATATCAGGTACATCCTTGATGGCTATTAATTTCTAGACAATATTAACCTTGTAAATAATGATTCCTTCCTAACTTCCCTTCCTCAAATATCATATGCATAACTTAATTGCATTTACATGAGGTCCTAACCTTGTAAATTTCAGTTATTTCAATTTAAGTGCCAAACATCGGAAAGATTCTTAAGAGGCATTCAAAAGATTACCTTAACTTTCTTTTCTGGGCTGAAAACTTCAGTTAAGCTTCTTGATTTTTTTTCAAATTCTTGAACCAAAAAAAAAAAAAAAAAGTAGATTAAGATATGCATCACAAAGTTATAGTGTCTACTTGTTTCCAATGTATTGATATACCTATCACTTCAAGATTATGTTGATTAGTACTGAGCTTTACTCAACTGGTCAGGTTTTAGTCTTTTGCTCTACCAAATCTTCCTTTACCCGTCTCTGCAGAAAGTTTGTGGACCTGTGAGACTTGCCCACATTTCAGCGGTTAGCTTTCTCTTTCACGTGACAATTACTATGATTCGGAAATTTCACTGTGACTTGCTCTTTAAGCTGTATTGTTGTGTTTTGGGCACCATGTGCAGGCTGTATCCATACCTCTCCTGCAAATTTACCCTTTCATAGGATTGTCACCTGGCTTCACAATGAACCTATTGATAACTACTGCATCTGTCCTCATGTATTGTCTCTCTGTAAGTGCATCTTTTCCTTGATTTTACCAGCCACAGTGCCCATTGCTGGCATAGAATCATTTTTATGGGTATTTTTAGTCTGTAAAATACTTCTCCTAGCAAATGCAATCTGCAGAACGTCCTTGTTGAAATTTAAGTGGTACAAACATTGATACAGATAGAGTAACATGACAAGAATTGAAGTGTTCATCTGTAATTTAAATTATCTTGCTGTGTCACTTTGTGTCTGACACACGAGAGTTGTAAAAGGGAGTTTATTCGATCAAAAGATAGTAATTCATTCACTAATCCTTTATTTATACTAGCACACTGGTTGTCTTTGCTGACTAACTACACATCTTAACTAACTATTACAACCACATGACAGTGTCTAATATAAGTGTTTGCTGGACATCGACACGAGTTTTTTGAAGTGTCTATGCTTCATAAATTGTACATTTTCTGCACAAAAGCAGAAGGGGTGGGGGATGAGGCAAGGGAGGGAAATTGTGAAGGGAGAATTACAATCAAGTCCCAAGTAAGGAAATTAATTATTCTCAGTCCATTTACAAGTCAAACTTCTATATTTGCACATGAAACTTCAGTATTTACAAGTAGATGGGACTTGTTATTAATTAATTTCCTTATCTGGGCCTTCTACGTGATTCTCTCAATTGTGAAATTGACGACCAAATTGTGACAAGAAGGAAACTAGAGGGGCTAATGGTCAATCAAACCCATAGATGTGAATGCCAAAAAGGCAAAAACAGAACATTATCTCCTTGACAAAAACCTACATGCGGTATGAGCTTGCCTGATTGCAAATTTTTCTTTGTCAGGCAACCTATATGACTGGTTTATTCCTCCTGCAAAATAGAGCAGTGGTAAAATTCTCTTAGTTCAATTCATTATCTTCATTATTTTTCTTTTCTAGTTGTGGGATTTACCGAGTCGGGCTAAAATGGAATGCTTCATTTGGAAAAACAGGAACAACACCAAAGAGGAGCTGCTAATGGTATTGCGATGACTGGCATGTCAATTTCCAAAGCTCTTGGCCCGGCTGGAGGTGGAGCAGTGTTAGTTTACTTTTTCATTTACTTGTTCAGCTTCTTATATTGCTCTTCAAATTTAGTATAAACTTGTCAAGAAAGCTTCACATTGGATGGAAAACAACTCTGCTTTTTTTTTATTTATCAAAGAAACAAATTTGGGCAAAAAAAAAAAATTGTTACTGTGGATTGGTTAGAGGTTTTCATTTGTTGTTTGAGACAGTGAAGATGATTTCAACTTCACAAGCTTTACATTTATCTTTCATATATTTCTGAAGCTGATGTACTCATTTTGTCAATAAGCCTTAGTTTAAGTAATATGTATTTTCACTGGTAAAAAAATATTCAAGTGAAATTACATTACTGGTTGTTAAGAGGGGGGGAAAAAACCTTCAACACACCTCTTCACATGAACAACTTGATTAACTTGTTTTTTTCTCCGACGTATAATATTTTGAAATTTACTAATTATATTCTTGTTCAAATGCAGATTAACTTGGTCCCAAAAGCGGCTAGATGCTTCTTTCCTCCCAGGTATGATGCTTGGCTAATTTGTTTCTGCTAAATTCTGTTTCGTGCACTAATACTATTAGGTAAGGTGGCAAACATATACACAACATATAGGTAATGTTTGGTACACCAAAAAGTGTCTTCTATAAGTTGACGGAAATTTGGTAGTGTGAGATACCAAGTCCCGTATTAAGTACTGTGAGATGTTCAATAGGGTATTTAAATGGGTTGGTCTTCCCACCTTAACAACCAGCTTTTGGGGACCATCCAACTTAAATATCCATCAATTGGTATCTGAGTTAGGTTGTTGGTAGTTTTAGAAAGGGCTATCCGCATAGAATTCTAAACAGTAGAAGGCTGGGTTAAGTGTCATAGAGTGCTGCTGCGGGGATGTCAGTTTTTCATGGGTAGCCAATTGATGGAGACTTAATATTGGGCTGTTCAATGAGGCATTTAAGTGGGTTGGTTTTCTCATCTTAACAGCTAACTTTTGAGTAGGGTTTCTCATTTTACGTAGGTACCCATCATAAATGAAATAAGAAATGTATCTAGAAAGAAAATGGAATAGGTACATTTCTCATTTCCTTTTTAGAAAATAATTTTCTACATTCCAAACATTGCATTATCTTGTTGGGTCTTGAGAACTAATGTTATCAACTATTGGGTCCATCCTTCTTGTTGCTAAGGCTCTTACTGGGCCTCACTTTTACTTGAATATTATATTATGTTTGTTCATCAAAAATGGATTGACTCCAAATTCAACACTGTCATGCCATGAATATCATCAGCCTTATTTATGTATGCTCACTAACTGTGGGACATTTAACTACAGGTTCTCATATGGTGTTTTTTGTGCTGAACCTCGTAGAAGCACTTGGGGTTCTGATGATGTTCAAACCATTCCTTGCTGAGAAAAAGACATCCCCATCGCAACAGATACAATAATGTCAATAACATGTTCTTTAAGCTTGTGGTGATAAAGCAATAATCAGATTATCAGCAATAACATGTTTCTGCTGAAGTATGAAGAAATGAATGAAACCAATATATGAGATCAGTGAAGCAAGAATTGAGAAAGAAAGTGAGAGCAGAACAAAAAAAAAAACAAAAAACAAAAACAAAAACAAAACAGAACAAAAGAAAACAGAGAGAAAGAGAAGTGGAAAGTGCAAGGTCCATGTGATTTCTTTTGTTAAGAGTAAAGAGTCATGGTGATTCCTTCAGCTATGCTAGTTATGTACCCAATCTGTTGTTGTCTATTTAATGACTGCTTATTCTATGTGTGTTTTGGTTAGTTATGTTGGAACATGGTCATTATTGTACTATTTACATCTATTTTGATTTTGAATAAAATTTTGTATTTCAAGTTGGCAATGTGCTTGTTATGGACTAGTTATTCTATTAGTGTAATTTATTAATATGCTAGGGATTGACGTAGTGTTGTACAGCTAGAGTGGAGCCGGTAATCTAAGTGCACGGATTTATTTCAGCCAGCCTAAATACCTGAATAATTAGAGACTTTTTCATTTTTCTTGTTTTAAGCTAATTTTAATTTTTGCCTTAAAATTAATTAGTTATTATTATAAAAAATATAAAACAAAATAATATTTTTTATGTTTTGATGAAGATTTTCAATATACATTTTGAAGATTAATTTAAAGTATTTTCTAAATTAAAAAAAGATAGAAATATAATGATATGGACTTTTTATTTTTTTTAAGAAAATCTCTCATGGCAATGTATCAAGATATACATATAATGCTTTAAGTTTTAAAGTCTGAATTATAAAAAAATGATCTTTTCCCAAGTTTGGTTTTATTTTATTATTATTTTTTTTGGGGTTTGTTTAGTTTGGTCTATTGAACTTGGTTCAAATTATCATTCTAACATAGTGGAGTGAGTTGAATAGGTGTTTGTATAATTTTATATTTAAATTTTTTTCAATTTTTAAATTGTAATTTACTTTGAAAATTAATTTATAGATCAACAAATTAAAGTGGTTATAGATAACGATTTAATGTAAATAAAAAAGTTATTAAGTATTCAGCAAACGAAATATCCATCCATAAACCATACAAGTCTTGATGTCTTGCATAATATTTAATTAAACAACACTATTCAATTATGCATCCATCACAATTCTTCAAATCACTAGAACTAATAATCATTAACACCAAAATATTCTTTATATTCATTTAAATCTACAGGCACTAAGGCATTGAAAGTCTAATGAGAAAAACCACAGCCAAGCTAATAAAGGCTGGTCTAGTTGGTGGACATTTATAAACACTTTTATAATGTGTTTTTAATATGAATCCATGTAGTAAAATTCTGAAATTTAACTCACCAAAACTTTTTTTTTTAAAAAAAAAAAAGACCATAACCAATGGCAACATCATTCGTAAGTCCTCAAGGGTTTACATGACTTCTTTTTCTTTTCTTTGTTTTTTTTTTTTTTTGCAAAATTGTATTTCTCACCAGGTACAAAATAAGAAAAAGTGTAGTTGTTAAAATATACTTTTGACAAAGTTTTAAAAAACATTGGCCTTTAATATAAGATGAAGTTAGAATAATTAATTTTTTTTTAATTTTACCCTGTCTATTTGTTGTTGCTTGAATTTGTAAACAACTCATTATGATTATGATTATCAAGGCTGTATGAAGAAGTTTTGAACCTTAAGGCAAAATTATTAATAAAGCCACGTGTAATTGCTCCTTCAAAAAAAAAATCCACTCATCATTTTTTACAAAATCATATATTAAAATTTTATAATATGGTGATTCTAATAAAATACTAAATTAATTCAACAGTGATATCACAATTAGTGTTGACAAAGTGCTCCTATTTTATCTTATATATTGAGATACAACGTGAATATTAACACTGATATGGAGTAGCAATACATTTTTAACAAGAAAGATCAATGATTAATGTGACAAACCAATAATAATCATATAAATTATAAACAAGATTTTAATAATAAGGCCTCACTTGTCTTGTGGCTTACACAGCCTTGATGATTATTATTTGTAAAAGAAAGGTAAAAATTGAAAAATTACATATTTTTTTAATAATTTTAAAAATATGACTGCCATTTCTGAAGTTAGTTAACTTGGAGTTGATATCAAGAATGCATTAATAATTAATAATGATACGGAGACAGAAAAATAAGGAACGGTGAGAGGGTAGCTTCGGGTGGCACAAAAGTCATCTTGACTGATTATTTGGTGGCACGCTATTAATTTATTTATTTAAGTTACAAACGCACGAATTCCATATTTAAAAAGTCTATTCATATGAATTTCATATTTTGAAAAAGATATTCATGATAAAGATATAACTTACCTGAAGCTCATATCAACAATCAAGCTTTTGATAAAGTACATGGAAAGAATCGAAGCCAAATGGAATCTCCCTCGATCATACTTGACGTTAACGGATGACGTATTGACGACATTGATGATCTGGTCAAATACTAATAAGGTTACTACTTGTGAAGACATGGTTCGAGATAATAAAGGAAACTAAATCAAATAATTTTCTAAATATTTTGGATATTTCTAAATATTTTGGATATTATTCTATCACAAGGCTAAACTTTTAAATATTTTGGAAGAGCATAACATTTGTTAGAGTGCTAAGTTTTCAAAAATCAACTTCTACCTTGATTCCCTTAAAATTTTGTCACTAATTCAACACAATTTTTCCAAAAGTCACTTTTTATAAAAAATTATCAAGAAAATCATACATTTTATTATGAGAGATTGAACGATCACTTTCAATCATATATTTAAATAAGTAAATAAATGTATCAATTTACTTATTCACCATACATCTTGCACCAACTTAAATATCATGATCTTCAATTATCTGTCACATGCTCTACAAACTTTATAATTTATGACATTTTGTTTTGTTGCATGAATTTCCGTGATCTTATATAAAAAAAAATAAGGGAGAATTTTATTAAAATTCTTTAGATATGACATAACTTTTAATCAAATCCCAAAAAATTTTAAAATTTCACCGCAGGCCCAAAGCGTTGAAATGAAATAAATTATCTCACTTGTATGACCAACAAGCCATTTAATTATAATTAATATTGCTGAAATAACAAGTTAAAATATTGTTTATAAAAATAAAATTACTAAAATAACAAGTCAAGTTATCATTTTTACAACTAACATTATTATAATAACAAAATAATTTACGTTTTTACAACTAATATAATTAAAATAATAAGTCAAGTTATGATTTTTATAAGTAATATTATGTGAATAATAAAAAATTATATTTATTCTATTAATGTTATTTGTAAAAGTAAAAACCTTAACTTGATTTGTTATTATGTAAATATTACTTGTAAAAAATGTAAGTTGACTTATTATCTCAATAATGCTAATTATACTTCAAGGGCATTTCAGTCATTCAAGTAAGGAAATTTATTTTATTTCAATGCTCTGGACTTGTAATAAAATTTTAAAATTTTTTGAAACTCAATTAAAATTATGTAACATTTTAGGGACTTCTATAACATTCTCCCAATAATCAATTCATTTTTCATTGGAAAAATAACAATAAAATTCTTTAAAATATATAAATGATAATTTGATCCCTCAAAATGTCATAATTTTTTTTAAAATTTTAAGAGAATTTTCTTTCATTAATGAATTTATATAAATTATCAAATTATTCTTATTGAAAATAAACAATTCACAATTTTCTTTCTTATATTTACAACTTTCTTTCTTAAATTCACAAAAATACAACAGAAAATTACAATTTCACATGTTAAATTCATTATTTATTATTACATTATTGCCAATACAAAATGAAAAGTTTTGAATCAATTATTTTTAATAAGAATAATTTGATAATTTATATAATTTTATTAATGATAAAAAAGTCTCTAAGGACTTCAAAAAAATTAGGACATTTTAAAAGATTAAATTATCATTTATATATTTTAAAAAAAATTATTATCATTTTTTCTTTTTCATTCATTCTTTTCTTTTTAATCAAGGCAAAAAGCAAGGGACTTCAAGTAATCCTTTTCGCTTCTCTAGAAATAAATTTTGGTCACGTGACACTTTCTTTTCCGTGGCCGGGAATAAAAATGAAAAAGATGTGCTAGAAAAGGGTATGTTCAATATGTTAATTAATACTAATAATAATAATAATAATAACAATAATAAACAGAGAGGCGCATAAAAAAATAAAATTATTATAAAGTAATTTTAATTAATTTTTTATTTCTAACACAGTTAACATCATTAAAAATTAATTACAATAGTAACAGGTCATTGTGTCCTAATGAAGTCCTGATAACTAGTCAGCTGCATAGATTCCAAATCGTCATTATTTCTAACAACAAATACATTTTAAAAAAAATCGAAGAATATTCCTTTCAATAATTACTTTTCTGCCAACAGTTTCAATAATTACAAATAAATATAAAAATCTCATTTCAAATATTTTTAAGGATATTTTAAGAAAAATATCATTAATTATTCCTAAAAAAATTAAAACGTTTTATTCCTGATTTTTTAAGAGGTTTGATATTAAAAAATATGAGATGTTGTTAGTGTTTTAAAGTAAAATTAATTTATTTTTATTTTTCAAAAATGATCTTAATAAAAAAATCATTTTATATTTCTTTATAAGTAAAGCATCCTATAAAACAAAGGTAATATAAAAAGATGCCATTAGTTAAAAGATAATTAATTAATTTATTAAGGGTGAGATTTCATAAAAAATATATTACATTTCTAAAACGGGGAGGGTATATTTTTATTTTTTAAACAAGATACTCTAAAAAAATGCCTTGTAATTTTGATTGAATGAGTATATTAAAAAATGAAAAAATTGTATCCAAAAATATGTGAAAAAAGATATTCGCAAACCAGGATCAACAACAATTCATCATTGAAAAAAAATAAATTTTTATTTTTATTTTAACAATAATACATTTTATATTAATCATTATCTGTAAATAATTTTTTTACATGTCATTTGATGCAATTTTTTCTTAAAAAAATAAATTTAAATAATAATCTATATATATATATATAATAAAAAAATAACAACCACTCTTTTAAGTGTGACATGTATGCATTAGAATATTGCAATTCTAGGCTATCCGTCTTTCCATTAATTTCTAAAACTGTTTTTTTTTAAATTGTTATCTATAAAATTAACAAAAACTTCTTTCCTTTAACTTGGATATGTTCTTCCATGATCTTAAATATAACCTTTTAAATTATAATTTAATTTTTAAGAATTCAATTTAATTCAATCAATATATTTTTTATCTATGAATTATACTGACTCACGCCAAAATTCCTTTATCATTGATATGCTTTTCCATAATTTCATATATAACTTTTTAAATTATAATTTAATTTTAAAAAATGCAATTTAATTCAATCAATATAATTTTGTTAATTAATTTATCACCCCATGCATGCATAGACTAGTTGCTTTATAATTTGATACCATTCTATATTTGACTCCACAATACCCTCTTTCTGTCCCGTGACCACCACCTTTTTTATTTTTGCCCTTTGCCTCCTCTTAATCAGCGACGTGCATTAAATATAACTATTGGCATGATTGCATCAATCATCATCTACCACCTTGTCATCACTACGAGGAGTGACAGTGATCGGGAGCTTCTTCTATAAAATGAGTCTGAAACATTTAGGTGGGCAGCTTGCAAGGTTTTCTTCTTCATCACATGTTATAGTTCTTGTCCTCCAGAATAATCTGTAAGTTCGAACTTTGAAGTTCGTTTAGATTGTGAACAACTTTACATTATTGGCCTCAATACCTGATCACGTGTTCCTCAGCTTGTTTAATGTTTGCTCAAGCTTATCATTAGGATCTGCAAGTTTGTGTGTTTTTTAATGTCTCACTCAGTTTTGATTTTTTTCCCCCGCCCCCTCCCTTCTGGGGTTTCAAAAGAAGCAAAAAGCACTCACCTTTGATAAACTTTCTCTGATTTTTCTTTCTTGGTTTTGTGTTTTCTGAACCAAAAACATAGACCGACTTAGGAAGGAGAACCTCGGAGAAAACAAATATGGTGGAGGATCATAACAACAACAACAACAAGAACGAAGATAGCATTTCGAAACAGCCATTGTTGAATAATCGTTACCATGTGAACTGCCCTGGGTGTAAGGTGGATCAAGACAAGGAAATGAATCAAGGTCAAGGCACACCCATGAAGAATCTTCTCAACATATGGATCGTAACTCTGTGCACTGGCAAGTATAAATTAACAAATTTGGTTTTCTTACGTAGTTTTTGGAAGTTAGTTGCAAGAGTTGTTCTGACTTAATGAGGTATCAAGTTCGGGTCTTGAAAGTACAGAAGCATAAGTGGTTAGGGGCGTCCACTCTTGTGGTGCTTGTCATGCCTCAATTCAGATTAGTTTGGGCCCTATTAAATCTTCACAGCTCGAGTGAGGCAGCCCAAAATACCGGGTGCTCATGACTTTTTTCTTTTTAAGTTAACCAAAAGAATCAACTTTTAACAAGCTTTTTGTTTTTGATGGATTAGTTTGCTAATGAGCCACCTTGCCTGGACTCAGAGGCCGTGTTTGTCAGAAATAAAATTATTATTCATTGTTCAAGATATCCTTCCAAGTTAATATGTTGGAAATTTTAGTGCTTTTCTAATTCTTCTCAGTTAAAAACCCATAATTACATATCATGTTACTGTTGTTTTTTCTCTTTCTATTTTTCCTTTTTCGTGGAGAAGCTGTCCTTGGTGTATGATTTGGTTCATGAAAAGGTTTCAAAACAAACAAAAAAATTAATATATTTTATGCAATATTTATTATCAAATTCATGCCTAAAGATTCTTCAGTCATTTATTCCTGCTATATCTTTTCAAATAAAAAAAAAATCTGATATGTTCTTTCTTGGCTCTATCCAGCTCTGCCTGTGTCATCTCTCTTTCCATTTCTTTATTTCATGGTGAGTTATTTTTTTCACTGGCCTCTAGTGTTGCCTTTTTTGTGCATTGATAAATCTAGATTATTAACTTCATCAACTTTTATTGTTTATACTTCTCTCCTTGTATAACCAAAAGTGAAAATTAGAAGCTCCTACACTTTTCAAATATCTACATGTCTTTTCAAAAACTTTTTAAATTTTCTTTGCTTTTTTTTTTTTTAAGGGATCAAATACAAAACATCCAACACACCTACTTATCTACCCTTCCTCCATAGGGAACGGTGACTCTTCCATACAGGGAAGGGTGACACATACACTCACAACACTCACACACACACCCCTTGACTTGATCCATTGTTTCATGTAATTTGTTTGCCTTTTGTATATTCTCAATTAATAATTTCAATTCCAATTTTTTATGCTTTATTTTCTTTTTGACATCTCCAGCCAAGACTGCAAATAGTGCATAGTTTTATTTTTACTGAACACATCAATTTTTGAAAGCGGCTGCTTGCTTCAAGATGGGAACAGAAAATTAACAAATAATTGGTTTGAATAATTTCTTAAATTATCTATGTTAAGTTTACAATACTCAATTTTCCTAATTATTTGGGGCCTTTGAATTAATGAATTTCTTCTTCAATTAACAGTTCAATTTCAATTCCACCTTTTCTTATCAATTTCAACTAAGAAATTGGTTTTATCTTTCCCCCCCGCTGTAGTTGGTGGAAACTTCTGCATTTAATCATTGTTCCAATGTTAAAAGGATATTTATGTGCTGCAGACAGTCCTTTAATTGCGGTTTTCTCTCCTATTCTTCTAATGTCAACTTAAATTTTTGGTTTGTTTCTTGAAATTGCCATGAATGGCTTCCAAAGGGGAGGGATCAAGGATCCATTTCTTGTGTCTTAAATAACAAACATGTCTTTGTGTGTGAGATTTGAAAGTGCAGCTTTCTAGTACCTTGGCATATGTGGGAAAACATTTCTCCTCAAGTGAGAACTGAGAATCAATCTCAGTTGAGGCTTGAAATAGTCTAACTTACCACTTTAACCATGAAGGAGTATTGTTTTACCTTCTGCCTTCTCATTTGTTATGAGATAGCTCAAGAAATGAATTCTGTGTTTGATGTTTGTTTAAATCGCTGAATTTGTTAGAGCATACATCTAATGCAGAATAGAAGATGAACTATTGATACCAATTTGCTTGCAGGTGAGAGATTTTGGCATCGCAAAAACGGAGGCAGATATCAGTTCCTATGCTGGTTATGTGGGTGAGGTTCCTTATAGTCCTTTCATTCTATTGAGGTCTATTAGAGGGATTTATAAGCTCTTAAATTACTGAACTTCATGTGAAATATGTTGTAGGTTCTTCATTCATGTTTGGCAGAAGTTTAACATCAATTCCATGGGGAATGTTTGCCGATCGATATGGTCGAAAATATGCTATAGTTATTGGCCTTGTTGCAGTGTAGGCACCCCTGAACTGATTTGGATTTCTTTCTAGCTCTACTTCTAAACAATGGTGAATAGAAAGAGAATTGAAGATTGAAGATTATTTAGTTCATCTTGGAAATTTGTTTCATTTATTTTCCGTTTTATCCTCTTTTCCCCTTATCATGGACTCTCTACAAGATAAATTGAAATCATTTTATCCATATGGTATTGATTCTTAGTTGATTTCAGTGTAGTATTTAACACACTATTTGGCCTTAGCACAAGTTTTTGGATGGCTATGAGCACAAGATTTCTTCTTGGAAGTTTGAATGGTTCACTTGGACCAATAAAGGTACCATTCATAGATTTACCGCATTCCTATAATCTAAAAATGAATGAATTGCTATTTGGTCTTTAAATGATGTACTTCGTCTCTATTTAGTCCTCCAAAGTTTGAATCTCTCATTTGACTTCTTCAATGATTATTCTGTCATCTATATAATTCACATTAAACCTGTTCTGTTAATAGATGATTAATAGAGAGGGGCGACATATCAACTCGTTCTATTTGTGTCTTTCTCATTGGAAGTCGGACAATCTTTTTTTCCCCCTTTTAAAAGACTTTGTTCTATTTTATTCTAACTTCCACCGACATATCAACTTTATCACTAGGCTTATGCTTGTGAACTTTTTCGAGAAGAACACCAAGCTATAGCACTCTCAACTGTAAGCTTGATTTACTTTTGTCTACTCTTTGTTCTTAGAAGTACTTGTTCTTTATGATAATTTGACAGTGTGATCTGGTTTCAGGTTAGTTCAGCTTGGGGCATAGCTTTAGTCATTGGTCCAGCATTGGGAGGCTATCTGGCTCAGGTACTTTAAACTAGATCTTGAGAATTGGTTGGCTTTTTCAGAGGAACATAAAGATGGTTCTTTTTATACCGAGAAACACATCTAAGCTGATTTACTAATGTATTCAGTATCAATCTAGAGTCTAAATTTATCATTATCTAAAGTCCTAGTTATATCATTATTTATGGTTAGTCTCTGTCCTTGTATTTAGCCTTCTTATTCACTGTAATTCTATTCTTATCTTAAATTTGGCATTGCATGTGTGTACGAATATGCCCTTGAGCACACTTATCTTTTGTTCATCTAACAATTTGGGAATTTTGGTATTTCAGCCAGTAGAGAAATATCCACACGTTTTTACGAAAGGTTCCTTATTTGATAAGTAAGTATACCTGTCCTACTTTTAAATAATACAATAATTTTGTATTCCTTTTTTTTTTTAATAATTTCCACTTCCTTGTTGGTATTTTGATGTACATCTGTTCTAACACAAGTGGCCTGCAGGTTTCCGTACTTCTTGCCCTGCTTCATAATATCAGCCTTCACACTTGTTGTATTAGTTGCCTGTATCTGGCTTCCGGTATGTATAGCCACAAATTCTGTGCATGTTAAGATTAATAACAATTGCAATTGTAAATTATATTAAATACGAAGGGAAGCACAAATGATACAAGCACAAGCCCTAATATGCAAATCCTTGACGTACTTATGTTAAACTTAATCATCACAAACTCACTATTCTATCATAATGTTAAACTCCTATGTATCTATTAATCTTCTGAGTGTAGCTTTGTCCTCATGATGTTTTGAGAGTACTATTATTTTATAAAAAAATAGGGCAACCTTCAAAAAAAACTATGAGAAATTATCCTATTAATTAAAGTTGGTTACATGGATTATATGATACCATTGTGTCCTATCAATAATCAACTCTTTTTTGCACACGTCTAAATCATCTTAAATAATTTTCTACCATTTTTTTCCTTATTAGGTGTCATGCCAACTTTGCCTCATTTATGGTCATTATAAATCTTTTCTTTTCTTATATGGTCACACGTCACTCAAATCCTTATCTCTACAACTCTACCACCCCACTTTCTTGTTCGTGTTGTCCCTCCAACAACCATTGTTCACTATCATATCACTACCATCATCCATTTTCTTAAGATAATAAAAAGGCTAACTTCTGATATTAAAATTTTCGTTTTCAACATCTGCAGGAAACATTGCACAACCACAATGTTAGTGTTGAGTCCAATGAGGATGCAGAAGCTTTAGAAAATGAAATCACAGAAAAGACAGTTCAGAAAGATGAAAACCTCCTCTTGAATTGGCCATTGATGTCATCCATTGTTGTTTATTGTGTTATCTCAATGCATGATATGGCTTATACAGAGGTATGCTTCTTGCTTAATAAAAGTATAAATAGTTTTATGCATTTCATATAATTTGTGTGTTGTTTGGACTTTCTTGCCTTTCTATCTTGTTATCCATACCTGTTTTTTTTTAATTTGATCTGACATATAGCTGATTGGGGGTAAAAAGTGGGAATGATCAAAGAGAAAAGGATTTCCCAAAATTTCATCCCTAAAATATGATGTGATTAATTATCAAGTTGATTCTCGAAATGATGTTTTCCATTCCTTTAACTCTTCCATAGATATTAGGTTGATATTATACATGATATTCTAGAATCATTATTCACAAGTATAGTGTGTATTGGATAGCCATATTAATCGATTTTCTGAGGAAAAAAATCAATTTTGGCTTTAATTACCCAAACGCCAAGAAACTTGGTTAATCGATTTTTTGGGGTGAAAATCAATTTTTTTCCGAAACTGGGAATCCAAGCTTTTGGGAAAAAGTTTATCAAACAACATTGGAGAAAATTACAAAGAAAGGCTCAAGAAAAAATTACAAAAAAAAGCACATTATAAAGAAAAATAAAACCAAACTCTCTTCTCTTCTCTTCTATTTTTTCTCTTAATAAAATTCAAACTTTGTATCCTCAAAAAATCAATGTTTGGTATTAAAAATTAAATTATACAGTAATTTATATAGCTAAAATCGATTATGATTAAATTATTCAAACATCTTCAATTCTATTAAAATCAATTTTAGAAAAACAATATCAAAATAGATTGCGTTATAACATAATCAATTATGATTAAAATTTACTACTTAATCAATTATTTTCATAATCTATTATACTCATTGAAATCCAAACGGGTACTAAAATGATATAAAAATTCACTGTTAAGTTGATTGTGACACTGTCTTTTGTATGGTAACATGAGGTTTTTGTCTTCCATCTTATAGGCTATAAGTTATCTCCATTTTACTTTTGCAGGTTTTCTCTTTATGGGCAATCAGTCCTCTTAAGCTGGGGGGTTTGAACTATTCGACTGATGATGTTGGTAATGTTCTTTCAATATCAGGTACACGGTATTAAGGTTATAAATTGTGATTCCTTCCTAACTTTCATTCCCCAAAGACTACGTGCATAACTGCATTTACATGAGGTCATATATACTAACTTCTTTGGCTTATTATGTTTCATTGAGTAAATTTCAGGAATTTTAATTTAATTGCCAAACTTATGAGGGATTCTTGAGAGGCATTCAAAAAATTACATTAACTTCTTTTTCTTTCTTTTGTTAATAAAACTTCAGTAAAGCTTCTTTGGTGTTTGTTTCAAATTCTTGATTAAAAACATACTCCTCTGGTCCTATTTATAGGGCACAAAGAGAGAGTATTTGTTTTAATCCTATTTATAAAGCATCTCAATGATTATTATATTTATCTTTATCCTTTTACGCTTATTAAATGTGATTAAGTGCTAAAGTACTTTATTTTTAAAATATTCATATTTAATAGGAGTAAAGTTGAAAATTTGTTGAATTTTTAAACAAAATTAGTGGGGTTTAAGGTTTTTTTTTTTTTTGTTCCGGTGAAAATGTTGGAAGTCATTTATATAAACAGGATCAAAGAGAGTAACTTGTAGACTAAGATATGCATGACAAATATGTAGCGTTTACTTGTTTCCAATGTATTGACATATCTTTCACTTCAACTGGTTAGGTTTTACTCTTTTGCTCTACCAAATCTTCCTTTACCCATCTGTGCAGAAAGTTTCTGGACCTGTAAGACTTGCTCACATTTCAGCGGTTAGCTTTCTCTTTCATGCAACAATTACTATGATATGATTTGGCATTTTCACTGCTTGATGTTCTTTAAGCTGTACTGTTGTTTTCTGGGTGCCATGTGCAGGCTATATCCATACCTCTCTTGCAAATTTACCCTTTCATAGCATTGTTATCTGGCTTCACACTGCATTTATTGATAATTGCTTCTGTCCTAAAGTTCTGTTTCTCTGTAAGTGCCTCTGCCTCTTGATTTTAGCAACCACAATAATATTGTTGAGGGGTTAAGGTGAAGTCAAATGACCATTGGCTAGCATAGATTTATTTTTATGGGTGTTTTCAATCTGTAAATTATTTCTCCTAGCAAATATGAATGCAATCTGCAGAATGTAAATGCGTTGTTTAAAAATTAATCAATTAACAATGCTAATTATTCAGGTCAGTATGTAAATTCCATTGTAAAAAAAAAAAAAACCATCTTTAATCACTTGTACTCCCTCAAGTCCTTATTATAGAGCACCTTCTCAAAGGATTCTTTAGTCCTTAAAATTGAAGGCTTATTATATTTTCAGACAAAATTAATGATTTAACTGCATTTCTTTAATTCCGGTGAGACAGTTAGAGGTGCTTTATAATGGGAACAAAGGGAGTACTTTTTTTAAAAAATATATATATTTTAAAGACAGAATACTGATCTAACTGAAATTGAGGACTAAATTGTGACATTAAGGAAACTAGAGGGGCTAATGGTGCAATTAAACTCACAGATGCGGATGCCAAAAACAAAACTCTATCTTCTTCACAAAAACCTGCATCCATCGTGAGCTAGCCTGATTGTAAATTTTTCTTTCCCAGGCAACCATTGTGACTGGTTTATTTCCTCTTGCAAATAGAGCAGTGGTAAAATTTTCTTAGTTCAGTTCACTATTCATTATTGTTTTTCTTCTCAAGTTGTGTGATTTTCATGGCTGAGTTGGGCTAAAATGGCATGCTCCATTTGGGAAAACAGGAACAACACCAAAGGGGAGCAGCTAATGGTATTGCTATGACTGGCATGTCAATTTCCAAAAGTGGAGCCTCAAGTCGCAGATTGATTTTCTTTTGGTAGGAACACAGATAGAAAACTTTGTAAAAATTGTAAGGTGATCCCTGGAGATGTGTGTAACGACACAACACAGGGGTCCTAGTCCTTGATGTGTGTATTATGAGTAAAATCCAAAAACGTCGACAAGTAGTAACACCAAGGATTAGGTGGTGGCAATTAAAAGGTGAGAAGCAAGATATTTTCAAGCAAAATCTTTTGGATAAAGGAATTGGGATTCTCAGGGAAGTGCTAACATCATATGGGAGGATATGGCTAAAAAGATACGGGAGGTTGCAAAAGTAGTTTTGGGAGAATCGAAAGGTTCTGGTCCGAGAGATAAGGAGTCTTGGTGGTGGAATAATAGTGTACAGGACAAAATCAAGTATAAGAAGAACTGTTTTAAAGCCATACATTTGTGTAACAATGAGGAAAATTGGGAGAGGTACCGTATGGCTAAGAAGGAGGAAACTAAGAGAGCTGTGGGTGAAGCTCGTTCCAAAGCTTTTGAAGAATTTTATAAGAACCTTGAGACGAAGGAAGGAGAGCAAAATATTTATAAGATTGCCAAGAGTAGGGAAAGAAAATCAAGAGATCTAGAACAGGTAAGGTGTATTAAGGATGAAGAGGGAAGAATTTTAGTTACAGATGATGAAATTAAAAATAGATGGGAGACTTATTTTCTAAACTTTTCAATGATGGAGAGGATTCATCTAGTAACTTGGAGGATTTAGTAACTGGTGAAGGAGAACAAAATTTGTCATTCTATCGAAAAATACGTGATAAGGAGGTAAAGGAAGCTCTTAAGAAAATGGCAAATGGTAGAGCTAACGGACCTGATTGTATATCTATCGAAGCGTGGAAATGTTTAGGTGAAGAAGGGGTGAGATGGTTAACTAAGTTATTTAATGTGATTTTACGGTCCAAGAAAATGCCTGATGAGTGGAGGAGAAGTACATTAATTTCTATTTATAAAAATAAAGGAGATATTCAGAATTGTACTAACTATAGAGGGATTAAACTCATGAGCCACACAATGAAATTGTGGGAGAAAGTAATTGAGCACAGGTTGAGATTGGAGACAAGTATTTCTGAGAATCAATTTGGTTTTATGCCAGGTAGATCAACTACAGAGGCGATTTATCTACTAAGGGGATTAATGAAAAAGTATCGTTGTAAAGATAAAGATCTACACATGGTTTTTATTGATTTGGAAAAAGCTTATGACCGTATACCAAGAGAAGTGCTTTGGAAAGCGTTGGAAAAAAGGGAGTACGGATTGCTTATATTAAAGCCATACAAGATATGTATGAGGGGGTAAAAACTAGTATAAGAACGCCTAGTGGTCAAACAAAGGATTTTCCTATAAAGATTGGACTACATCAGGGATCATCTCTGAGTCCTTATTTGTTCAACTTGATTTTAAATGTTTTGACGGAACATATTCAAGAGGAAATCCCGAAATGTATGCTCTTTGCGGATGATATAGTTCTTATAGCAGAGACAAGAGAAAGAGGTTAATTGCAAACTTGAGTTATGGAGGAGGACATTGGAGTCGAAAGGTTTTCGTCTGAGTAGAAGTAAGACGGAATATTTATATTGTAAATTTGGTAAAGGACTATTCGAAAATAATTTCGAAGTGAAATTGGGAGATCAAATTATACCTCAAGTGGAAAAGTTTAGATATTTGGGAGCCATTATTCAAAATGATGGCGAAATCAGTGGAGATATTTCACATAGAATTCAAGCTGGGTGGTTTAATTGGAGAAAAGCTAAAGGAGTTATTTGTGACCGTAGGGTGCCTAATAAACTTAAAGGAAAGTTTTATCGTACTGCTATCAGACCGGCAATGTTATATAGTAGTGAATGCTGGGCTCTAACGGGACAGCAAGAGCATAAAGTTGGAGTAGCAGAGATGAGAATGTTACGATGGATGTGCGGACATACACGTAAAGATAAAATTCGAAATGAGCACATACGTGAAAAAGTGAGGGTGGCACCTATTGAGGAAAAAATGGTAGAAAATCGGTTGAGATGGTTTGGGCATGTACAAAGAAGACCAAGGGAGGCACCAGTGAGAAGAGTGGAACATATAACTTTGAGTCCGATTAAGAGAGGTAGAGGAAGGCCTAAGAGAACACTCTTGAAGTTGTTGAACGTGATCTCTTAATTAATAATATTTCTAAAAGCTTGATAAATGATAGAGCACAATGGCGTCTTGCAATCCATGTAGCCGACCCCACCTAGTGGGATAAAGGCTTGTTGTTGTGTTGTTGTTGTTGTTGTTTAGCTTCTTATATGACTCATCAAATTTAGTAATAATTTGACGAGAAAGGTTTGAATTGGATCGTTATCAATCCGTGATTTCTGATCCTTTGTTAGCGCGTGCTTACCAAGTTCTTTTCATGTTACATTGGTTCTAAAACAACTCATCTCATACCCTTCATTCGTTTGGATGAGAAGAAAAACAGGGAGGAAGGAAAACTCCTAAAAATAGTTTTTTCAAAGAAATATTATTTTTGGAAATTTTTCTTCTTAGTTTTCTCTCCTCCCTATTTTCTGCCTAACTTTCCCTCCATTCAAACCAAGTCACAGCATTTTATGTATCAAGGAAAAAAATTTGGTGGGAAAAAAAAAACCTTTGTAAGTATGGATTTGTTAAGAGGTTTTCATTTATCATCTAAGACTGTAAATATGATATTAACTTCCCAAGTCTCTGCATTTAGTTTTCATATGTTTCTGAAGTTGATGTACTTGTTTTGTCATTAAGCCTTATTTTCCCTGAGAAAAACTATTCAAGTGAAATTCCATAGCTGGTTTTTTCTTAAAAAAAAAATTTTCTGGAACTTATCTTCTGTTCACTAATCATGATCTTGGTCATTGCAGATTAAGTTGGTCACAGAAGAGATCAGATGCTTCTTTCCTCCCAGGTATGATGCTTAGCCAAGCCTGTTTGTGCTGAATTTTGTTTCATGTGCTGTTTGGAAGGGTGGCAAAGGTAAGTGCTTGACCATGACAGACCGAGAAATTTTGCCATGTGGGGGCAAAAGATTTATGCATGTATTTTGTGGAGACATTAGGATTAACATTATCGAATACTGGGGGTTTATTGATATACATTATGTATAAGATTTAGGGGGAAATGAAGGGATGATGAAACTTTTGGCCCCTCAAGCTTGTTTCAGATATCAATTTAATCCCTGAAATTTAATTTGTATTAATTCAATCCCTTAAGTTTCATGAAAATGAATAAGTAGCCCTTATTGTTTGAGAAGGAGATAATACTGTTAAAATGTTGACATGGATAACAGAATATTGAATTGGCAGCCATGTAAATTAATAAAGAAATTTAATTATTTGGCCAAGCAAAAGAAAAAGAATTCACACATACATGCCAAGTCATCATAAGAGAAAATAAAGGAAAATCATATGGTGACTTATGAGGGCAAAACAATAAGAAAAATACATAAAAAAGCCTACTTGTTCTCGTTTAGCCACATATACATGTCAAGTGATTGATATATTTTACGCATCAAGTTAACATCATCAATATATTTTACACATCAAGTTAATTTGAGAGTGTTCGCCCTCACTCTTCATAGGGTTTACCCCTTAGGTTTCTTTGGTGGGGCGGAGAGTGGGATCCTCTCAAACCCAATTTACTCAGGACAAGGTATGCTAGTAGTACAGTCATCCCAAAGGCTTCTCAATAATCGAATTCCTGGGAGACAAGTGTAACGCCTTCCTCCAAGGTTCGATCCCATAACCTCTCCTCCTAAGCGAAGAAGTAGGCAACATTGGTACCACTGAGCTATCAAAAACTTGTTGCGCTCCGCAAGTGCATAGGCCGTGACAAGTAATATAATGAGAGTAAAACATTATTTTCGCAGATATTAGTTTAAAAATAACAATCAAACAAAAACTAAGCGAATTTAATCAAGTTAAGCCAAACCATAATTAGGTGAAGATCATGTTGCAAACTAAATTAACACGAGAAAATAAGAAAAAGAGAATGAGTCACAAACTTGAAGCACGAATTGAGATCTAGAATTATTTGTTCCTTTGAATTTCATAATAATAAAATTATCTCCTCTCATAAATACTTTTAATGAAAATAAGTGCTAAACTAAAGTTCTAAAAATACTTGGACAAACTCTTTTAAGTCATAAATAAGTTTTTAGTTAAATTAATTGTCCAGTCTCCTATTACAATTAATAAAACTCAATTTTAGATTCCAACCCTACTGTGATTAAGTAAGGCTAGCAAGTATATCTCTATCTTACTAATGAAACTATTCATTTAGCATGTAAATATCAAGTTCTTGCATTATTTTACCTAAATTCTACACTTAACCTAGCCCTTTTAAACATCAATCAAGTGAACCCAATATTTAATTAGTAGCCAAACACTTAGAAACTTTAAGAACAGAGTAAAATAAATACATATAACATTAATCACAAAAGAGAGGAGGAAAATAATATCAATCCATAAAAGCATTTAAAATAATCCTAGAGTAAAGAATTTAATTACTCATAAATATCAAAAAGGGTTTAAAATAGTCCTAGAGTAAAGAATTTAACTACTCATAAATATCAAAAAGCTATAAATATAAAAAATATTCACAGCCATATCAAATTAGAAGGAGAGAAATGGAGAAGAAACAAAAGAATTGAAGAAATTGAGTTTCAAATGTCTTCAAAGCTTCAACTCTTAGACCCAACTCATCTTTAGCTTAAATCCTAGCACAATTAAGCTCCCAAAAGTATTTTCAAGTATGTGGAATATGTTCTGGGTCAAACTCTCAGCATTTAAATGTGCTACCCAACCAATTTCAAATTAATAAAACGCAATATTCTTCTGACAGTAATAAAAGTTAACAAAAGTCGTGACTTTGTGACGACTTTGACAGTTTTAAATTGTTTTTACAGTTAACAAAATTTATCATTTTTGCACTTAATTTCTTCATTCAAAAGCATCAACAAAAGCTCATAAATGCATTTAATCAAACCTTAGATCAAAATAACACAAAATTAGTCCAAAAAAATATCAAATTAAAACCAAGTATGCAAACTTAAAGTAAGATGCACATTTTTCTAATCTGGGCAATCAAAATATATACAATTTAGATAAAATATATTAATCTAAGAAAAATATGATAAAGTGATATGAAATTTTAGAGGTTATTGGAGAGTCAATTTGTATTCCAAAACCTAGAAGAGTGACATGATAACCTTAAGAAACATAAGGAATTGGATTGATAAAAATTAAACGTTAAGGATCAAATCGATAACTGAGACAAATTTAAAGGACCAAAAGCCTTGTTATTCAAAATAAAATTCTTTGTGGGGGCAACTGCCCTTAGGTCGAGGACCTAAAATTTAGGCCACCCTTGTCTATAAGGTTTTGACGGGGTTGTCATTTTGTTTGACAATGCTTGTTCATAAAAGATGATCAGAGCCCAGAATATTCATTCCTTTTGTTTCACATCATTGACTGTGATATTTGAAGCTCACTAACTGTGGAACATTTAACTGCAGGCTCTCATATGGTGTTTTTTGTGCTGAACCTAGTAGAAGCACTTGGGGTGTTGATGATGTTCAAACCATTCCTGGCTGAGAAAAAGAAAACCCCATCACAACAGTTACATTGATTATATAATCTAAGAGTTACATGTTGCTGCTGAATCCTGAGGAGATACATGAAAGCAATAAGGTTAGTGAAGTCGGAAGAGAGAAAGAAACAAGGGAAAATCACACAGATCCCACACAAGAATTCTAATTTCTAATTACCAAAAAGCTCCACAAAATGCAAAAATAACTCTGAAGTCCCATTGGTTTTAATTGCAAATAAGTTTTGGCGTGCATTTACCAAAATGTCCGCTTGTAACCATGGGAAGAGGTTTTTAATTTTAAAATAAGGACATTTTGTTAAATGCACTTCAAAACTTTTTTTTACAATTAAATCTTATGAGATTTCAGAGGTATTTTTCCAATTTGTGAGACTTTTTGGTAATTAAAATTTTTGTGTAAGACCTCAGTGTGATTTTCCCAAGAAACAAGGACAAAAATAATGGAGAGAGGAGTGGCAAGATCAAGATCCATGTGCTTTCTTGTGTTGAGAGAAAAATCATGGTGAGTTTTGTTAGTCATGTTGATCATGTATCCAATCTATTATTGTTGTCTTTTTTTATAATGACGGTTGATTATCTCTATGTTTTGATTAATTTAATTGTTGTTTAGATGTTGAAACTACTTGATCATATTGTACTATTGGCATCTACTATTTGGAGTGAAATTTAAAACTTGAAGTTGTCAAAAGGGTGAGAAAAGGAAGCGAGAGCAAAATTTGGCTTGCAATTTCCTTTTTTTTTTTTTTAATGGTTTGATTCTGGTGCTTGTTTAAATCTCGCAGGTGAAATCTGTTAATATATATTATTCTTTTTTTCACCAGTTAATATATATTATTCATTGATATGTAACTAGACAACTTATATATATTTATTTATAAGATAAAATTGTTCTTGGTCACAATAGATAGATATATACTGTAAATACACAGGGATTTTATTTTTTAAATATTATTACAATAAAATTTAAGTATTAATATTTGATGTATCGTGTAAAATTTATAGATGAATTGTATCATACCTGAATTATGATTAGCACGGGCCATTTCAAACTATAAAACAATATGATTTTTTTGCCCAAAAAAATCATTTGATATTGTTTTTGAAATCAGAGGCAATAAAGGAGGGCCCAATATAATGATTGTATGGTACTCATATGATTAACTTTTATTGTTTATTTATATAGGAAAAAACTTTATTGTTACAGATTGGTGCAAAGAGCCCTTGAATGTGGGGACAGACATCTAAGGAAAAAAATAACTTTTATTTCCTTTTTTTTTCCTCAATTATTAATTTAATTTTTGAATTTTGACCCATGACAATTCAATCAATATAATTTTTTAATTTAAAACAATTCAATCATCATAATTTTTTCATTTGATATAATGAAGTTTTTGTAATTCCTTAAATAAATTATAAAGATTAAATTATATCAAGTCAAAGTTTATGAATTAAATCAATAATTAAAAGAAAGCTTACATATTAAAAGTTATAATATTCCAATATTATCAAAAAAAAGGGGGAATCAACAAAGACTTTAGTATGGATTTGGCCAATGATGCACAAAGGTGTAGGATTAATCTCTTTTTTTATATAATAATTTAAGTGGTGAGCAATCTGTAAATATATTAATAAGAGTTTTTTAAATTTAAAGGCATACACTAATAAAAAAAACTTTTGAAATCTTTTCTTCTTTTTCCTTTTAATTTAATTTTCCATTTTCCCTGCAAAATATATTAAAAAATATAAATATTTTGGATCAAAGTTCCTTCTTATCATATAATTGAGGGATAAGAGAGAAATTTATACTCCCTCTATTTAAAAACATAAAATATTTTTTAAAAAGTTGAATGTTAAAAAATGTAAAATATTTTTAATCTTTTGAGTTATAATCATTATTTTTTTAAAGTGCTCATGTTAATAATGACTTTATATTTATTATAATAGAGATAAATATAAAAAGATAAGGTTAATTTAAAAATAAATAATTATTTTATTAAAATAAAATTTTAATTAAATGTATTTTATATTTTTAAACAGAAAAAATATATAAAATAATTATGTAAATATAAATATATTTAAATTTTATGACAAGCTGACAACACTAAGATTACAAGGGATCACACAATAAAGGCCACAAAGTCGACGATCACCATTACTTTTTATCATTGAAATTGAAACACGTGAAGCAATGTGATTGGCTAATACTATGTAAGAGAATCGCCCGCTCTGTACTCAGTCCTTCCCTTAGCTTGTCCGCACAAACAAGATTAAAAAACTTCTTCTTCTTTTTGTTTTTTTTTGTTTTGGTTGAGCGACCAAAAAATTCACGTCACGTCCCGTCCCTTGTACCTTTTTTTTTTTTTGTCTGTTTTGTCAGAATACAAACTCAAACAACAAAAGTCTTTGTGGTCCCGTCGAGATGACTCATGATTCATGAACCATGATGCTCAATAAGAAGGATAATATCATAATAATGACAACTAGCCAAAGACAATCTGAAATAATATAATAATAATAATAATAAAATACTGTAATAAGGGGAGTAAAATACTGTAACTTCTATTTTAATAAAGTTATAGAGACATCTCTTCTATTTTTAAATTAATTAATTTTTTATTATATTGCTCAATATTTTGGAAAACATGAAGGTATTATCAACTCCTATTTAAATTAATTTGAATCTCATTGTGTGAAACTCTTATTACTAGCTACGGTCTATGAGTATCTCAAAGATGCCTTTGACTTTTTATTTAATGCAATTACATATCATATGACTCAAATTTAAAATCTCAAGATAGCTTAATTAATTGAATCAAGCATCTCTCTATCAAATCACACACTTTAGTCTACCTTTGATATCGTTAGAAATATTTTGTTAAAAATTCTAAAATAATTAGGAATTTTTTAGTTTTGATTTTTTAAAATAATTTTTTTAAATAAAAAATTAAAAAAAAACTTGTTTGGATAAATATTTTAAATTTAATTTTTTTTAAAATTATTCTATTTTTTATTTCTAAAAACAACAAATAGAGACATTTTAAAGTTATTTTTATTTTTTTTTTTCATTTTCAAAAGGCACTATATTTTATTATTAAAAAATATAGTTAGTTTAATCAATTTCTTTCATAAACTACTATCGTTAACCTCCTGCAATCATTATCATTATCATATTTTCTAATTCTAAATATTTTTTTGAATTAACATAATCAAATGAATTTTTTGTTTTAAAAAAATAATTTTAAAAAAATTAATAGAATTTAAAGAAGAATAAACATAAATTATATTAACTAATTTACCATTTATTATATTAAATTCCTATTTCATTGATTTTTTTAGGTGGGTTTGAAATATTATTTTAGCTAATTTATGTATTTTATTTTTAAAAAAATAATAAATAAATAATTTTACACAAATAAAAAAGTAAAAAATATGTGCATTACTTTTTGGGTGCCTTAAATGAGTTTTAGACAATATAGATGGATATTTTGATTCAACATATATAGTCAACTAATAATTTAATGAATGAAAATGAATTATTTAAAGTATGAGGAAGATTTGTGTTTTGTGATTATTAATTATATAAAAAGTATACATAGGCTTTTAAAATAGAAATGCATGTATCGGTAATTAAAATAAAATGCAAGGTTAATGCATTTTATGACGATGATGATGAAGTTTCAGTCATCCACGTTCGAATTCAATCAAGTGTAGAACAACAACAACAATTCAGGATCAAAGAATTAATAGACAACATCTCAAGGGAATTGTATGAATTTTAAATAGTTAAAAATTGAAAGTGGGTGGGGGGATAATACGGAAGAATGACAAATTAGTACCAACAAATGAACAATTTAGGATCAATTAAGGATTAAGACTAATTTTAAGTTTAATTAATAAGTAATTTAGGCGCAAGATTTGAGTTACTTTTAACAATTTGACACTAAAATGTGAGAATTTGTAAAATTTTAATGAAAAGCTTGTCTAGTTAAGAAGGGATTGTTTGATCTCTGCTTTCAAAAACAAAAAAATAAAAAAATTTATTTAAATGAATATTTTAGATTTAATTATTTCTAAAATTTCCCTTATTTTGATTTTAAAAATAAGAAAATGGGAATATTTTATTTGACTATTGGAATCCATAGTTAACTTGATTATTTACTATCAGAAATCATCATCATCAGTCTATTTTCTAATTTTAAAATTATTTTTAACTCAACATAAAAAATATTTTTATTTTAAAAACAATTTTTAAAATTATACTACAAAATAATTTTTAACAATAAAAAATGGGAATACAAAGTACAAAAAGACAAGCTTTAAGGGCTTATTTGGTTCCTGTTTTTATTTTTTACTTTTAAAAAACTATTTTGCAATAAAATTTTTAACATTGTTTAAAAAAATAAAATTTTTGGCCAAAAAAATAAAATAAAATTTATTTGGTCATGTTAATTTTAAAACAAATTTAAATTAAAAAATAGTTAATAGTGATGGTTTTCGGTAATTAATAATGACAGTTCATGATAATTATTGGTCAAAGTTGACAGCAATTTTTAATAATAAAATATAATGTATTTTAAAAATAAGAAAAATAAAAAAAATAACTTCAAAATATTTTTATTTGTTGTTCTTAAAAACAAAAGATAAGAAATGTTTAAAAATAATTCACTCCAAAATATATTTTAAAAATAAAAAACTATTTAAAAAAAAAAACATAAACCAAACAACTTCTAAGTTTTAAAATTATCACATCTAGTGTCGAATTTCTAAGGAAAATGAGAAATCCTTATATCTATATATTTTGGCTGAAATAACTTTTTTTAAAAAATAATTTAAGATCTGAGTTGCCAGTACTTACATTTCAGTATCAAATTATGAAAAGCTTCCGCTATAAATTTACAAAGTTTCCACTCTAAAATAAAATAAATTCATCCAGTTCGAATGAGACGCTAGTGAGTAGGGTAGGGAAGACAAAATAAATAAATAAATAAATAAAATATTCAATAAAATTATTGGTCGCGGTCTCTTGACTTACAGCATATAACAAATGAATATTTGATATAATAGTGAGGTAATTCATATATATTTTTTTCAAAAATATAGTGCAAACTATTATTAGTTAATTTACGTTTCTCTAAAAAAATTAACTAAAATATTAATTTTTTAGAAAATTTTACGTTTTTTCAATCGTGCGTTTTGAATATAATAAATATAATATTAAATTTATTCAAAAAAAATTTTTAATTATTTGATGAAATATAATAAAATAAAGATATACTTATTTATATATATATATATATATAAAGCCTACCAAATATATATTTTATAGTTGATGTTTGATTCGACATTCTTATCACTATCGTTGTTGCTCCAATCAAGCAAAATGCGTCGCGCTTTGATTATTTTCGGGAGAATGGCATCCAAGGGACATGGAAAGAACATAATTTCTCCACAGACCTGATGAATCATGATATTTCTTTGCAGGTCCAAAGGTTTTAGATACGCTTATTTTTAAAGATGAAAAGATTGAACCACCCTTGATGAGTGAGAATATCTAAGCTTCATGTTACTCAAAGAAAATTAACAACAAAGAGCCCGTAAATAATGAATTTGTTTAGTCACAAGAATCTATATAGATTTACATTGGTATTTGAAAAAATTTATAAGTTAATCAAATAAAATTAA